ACTAAGTCTTTGCTAGGTCCAAACCATGCTGGATCCCATGGAGCACCAATAAAATCATATTTTAGAAAATCAGTAACTTTATGTGGAGAATTCGAACACATAGCTGAATCGATTTGAAAGGTAAGAATTTTTTCACCAGGAATAAGTTGCCAAAATTTAGGATCTGTGAATAATTTATTTGTTCAAAAACGATCATCAAATTGTTCCATTAAAGTAAGAAATATTTTTCCTGATGCAATTAATGGTGCTAAAGTTGATTTTCTAATAAAATCTTCATTATCTTTTCCATGAAAAATTTGAATAGGCCATGTTGATGGAATATGATAATTAACATTATGAACAATAGCAACAAGATGATCAACTGCACGAAATTCAACAATGATAGCGATGGCAGGATAAAACTTATTCGGAGAGTAAATAAATCGAGTCGGAATATTTTTTTCATAGTCATGATCAGGACAAGAACCTTTCAACAATTTGTAGGTAATAAGAAGCAAAAAGATAGCCTGGAAAAGTATGATTAACCTTACTACCTTAGGCGCTGTCATTGTCATTTATTAATAAACAAAGCAAATGAAACACTAACCTTTAGTTATGTATCAATGCTTTTTTTTTTTAGTTTCATGCTTGACTGAATATTGCTTATTTCGATCATAATGAAAACGTGGATAAGTAATTGTAAAGTATGAAGAAAGAAAATTTAATTGCATTAAAGTCAGGGTTTTACTTAAAAAGAAAGTATCCATGAGATTATCGAGAAAACAAAGGACTAGTGAAAATTCAATTTTTGTTTTTGATGTTCTCATCTTATTTCGAAACTTTTAAAAACATTGACATTCAAAATTTTAGTGCATTTCATTGATCCGGTGAAAGGTTAATCTGATTGAGTTGTCATGCACAAATACTTCTAAAATTATTTGGAGAATATTATCAGATATCGTTTATATAAAGTTGACTTCTATGAAATAAGAACAAATTAACATATATTTTCGTGTTATCGATGAAAAGTCTGAGCATCAAATGCTGAAATATTTTTATGGAATAATTCCGAATTATTTGTCAAATACTGTCGATGATTGATTATTTTTTACGTGAAAAGTGTGATGATTTTTCAAAACAATATCAATTACTACTCAGTCATTGTTGAAAATCTCCCAGTAATATCGAGTACATTATGCAGTTTGTTTTCCTCTAGAAAAAAAAAAGTATAAGGAATGTTGAAAAAAGAACTTTAGAGTTAGATCGAAATATGGCTCATAATGCTGATCATTGAAACAGCATCTAAAGAGAAAAATTATTGTATATGTTTATTTTCACATTCTATATAAATAAAAGAATTAATAGTTGTTAACTTCTACGAACATAAATTCAATCATCAGATCATAGACTGTTCCTATTAACAAATTGAAGCATATGAAAAATGGTTAGAATAATAGGATATGCATTCATCATATCATATTTGTGATAATGCGTGTAACAAACAACCTTGTACAGAAAAAACTTTTTTTTTTTGCTTGAGCATGTGTTCGACGTCCTTGTATTTTTTTTCCTTTGTATTCATAAATCACCTGTTTATACGCATATCAAAAAGTTAGACATTAGATCCAACATAATATTATTAAACCATATTCATACAATAGTTTTCATAAGATTATAATGATGAATAAATCAAGAGTGTACTTTCATCATTACTCAAAGACATTGATATCATTCTTGTCGTATGACTCAACAAAAAAATCTTACAAGAATATCTATTACAACATCAATGTGATTATATAAGACCAGATAAGTTTCTATCATCGAGCACAACTCTTCTATCATTTGTTACTAGTATTGAGCTTGATCCTCTACTACTTGTTCTTCTACTATGTATAACAGTTACTATTGTTAATGTCCAATGTAAATGTAAATATTTTTAATAGAAAATTGTCTTATCTTTGCAATATTATTTAGACAACTTGTTGCATATGTCTACTCTAACAACAACAAAATAAGAATGTTATACCAGTATATATATATGGATTTCTTCATTAAAAGTTTTATTTATTTTACATATATCATATAAAAGATTTTCAATAAATTCTAAAATTGATATGTTGAAGTAATATTACGATAAGAGATGTAGTAGATATATACATATATAGTGACTTTATTTATGTTTTAGAGAAGAAGTACATATAGAATTCTAATATTTTGTCCAAATCGTTATTTGAACATATGACTAAGTAATTTTTTTTAAAGTTTATCCAATCTTTTCATAATAAGCTCAATAAGTTTTAAATCTTTAATTCATCGAGTATATATGAAATACTTTCACATTCAAATAGAAACTTCATTTGTAAACAATAGCAAAGAAAAATTTTCTTTTCATTATTGTCGATTAATATAAAATGAATATATTAATGGCATACATCTGGCATAATAAGCATTGATTCAGGACATGTTTTTGCTAAATCTGCACGAAATTGACAATTCCAAGGAAATCGATGTACACCCAATGGTCGTACATAATACATTGATTCAACAGAAAACGTTTTTGCTATTTCGATTGAAGGTATTGATCCATTAACTCGATGTAAATTTTGTGCATACCAAACATCTTCTGGTATTTTAGAATCATATGGAATAAG